TTATAATATCTTATATTTTATGCCTTCATTCTATCTGCTATTATCTTAGCCTATTGTACATAAAAATCCTAGACCTTACGCATATTTATATGCTCATATAGCGCAATATTTAAGCCCTCTATTTAACGCGCTCGCATATTTTTTGCTGTCATCGAGCACGTTTAAGCCAGGCTAACTGCACGTCCATCACTATCGCGYTTACACTGTGCCCACTTGCTTTAATTCATTTGCATATTTGCATTGAATGGAAAAAACCTCAACAATAATTGCATTGCACATTTTGGGCAAATACTCTGCAAAAACATATAAATAAAATGAATTTGCAATGTTATTATTTATCCACCTGTAGTTGAACATGTACGCCCGTTCCCCGTCTCTCTCTCTCTCTCTCTCTCTCACTCTCTCTCTCTCTCTCTTTCTGTCCATCTGTCTGTCTGTTTCTCACTCTGTCACTTGCAAACGGGGTAAAACCACCAGGTCTGGTTCATGCTGCTGATCCGCAAACATCCCCTCAAACTGAAAGCCACAATTTAAAACCAATCCCAAATCTCAATTCAAACCCTCGATGCGAGCCCCAGGCAACCCCGCTCGCATTGTGCGTAAATATTCAAATATTTTCAGTGAAATGGAAATTCCAATTGATTGAATAGCTGTATGCGTAGTACGCCGCCGTGCGGCCATGATATCTGCTTACCTGAGCACATATGTATGTGTGGCTGCTGCAGCAGCTATAAAGCACATTTGCACATATGCCACAGGCCTCATGTCGGGGCCATTTAGTTGGGGCTTTAAAGCTAAACAATAATAGCACCAACCGAAAACCGCCAAAAACTGAACAGCTTACAAAACTTGGCTACTTTGTGTGAAATGTGAGCGAAGCCACGTAAAATCCCAGTGAAACGGAAAAACATCAAATGTCGGTTGGTTGCCAGCCAGCAGGAGGAGGCACCCACATGGTAAACTTTCCTGTTTTTTTTTATTGGTAAAAAAACCCCTTTCGAAAAAAAAAAAAAAAACGTATTCGGTTTTTTCGTTGCCCAGCGAGCAGTCGGCGAAGCATATTAAAATATTTGCAGGTGGCACGAGCTGCATAAAAAGTCATAAGGCAAAACATTTTATGCTCATCTATATGTATATGCCATTGTGGGCGCTGTGGGCGTGGCGCATTATTGATAGTTTTTTCATGCAATGAGTTTGACAACACGGGAAAAAAGTAAAATGGGGGTAGACCAGGCGAAAATACAGCCCGAAAAAAAACAGCATATATAAGAAAGGGCATGACTTTTGGCCCACACACACACACACACACACACAAACACACAAGCACCCCAAAAAAAGGACCCTGCACAGGAGTTTGCGGGTTATGGCTGAATGAAAAATGCGAGCCGCGCTGACATACTGCATGCATTGCATATTTTATGTCGCGTCAACACGAGACCATCTGTGTCACATGGGTAGAAGGGTAAACCTCGAACTACGTCCCCCTGTCGTCCTTCTGTCCACACATACACACACACACACACACTCAGAGCCCGCCGGACACCATTCCAAATGGGCGTTTGTCCAACGGGATATTGAAAAATCGCACGCTGAGCAGTCGAAGCCGGGCCCCACAGAGAAATAATGAAATGTTAACTGAAGCGAGTCAAGGTTCAGATAGACCCAATGGGAAATACACTAGAGCTGACCCGATTTATATTGCAATCAAAATTGTCAGTCTATTTTTCATTTAAGCTCCAGCTCTTGCCGTTCTGAAATGGCATGCATAAAAGGTTAATTACTATAGTCGAGTATAAAGAGCTTCACTTAGAGCGTTGCGGCTTAGTTTAAAAATTGAAAAGGGAAAAGCATTTGAAAACTTAATAAATGTTACTTTTATCGTTTAAAATTTGACATTAAATTATAGGGCATATTTTAAGTTAAAAACATAAAAGAGTTTGAATTTATAAATAAATTAAATTAATA